AGACAAACTATTTCTATTATGATATTACCTCTACACTCAAACATAGACAAAACTTAAGGTGTTGTGCATCTTAGCATGTATATCGGGATTCAGACAATAAAACTCTGAAATAAATTACAGTGACCTTTATTGAAGATACACATGATAACCAATATACACTCATGGACAAAACTTAAGGTGTTGTGCATCTTAGCATGTATATCGGGATTCAGACAATAAAACTCTGAAATATATTACAGTGACCTTTATTGAAGATACACATGATAACCAATATACACTCATGGACAAAACTTAAGGTGTTGTGCATCTTTGCATGTATATCGGGATTCAGACAATAACTCTGAAAGATATTAGAGTGACCTTTATTTAAGACACACATGATAACCAATAAACACTCATGGACAAAACTTAAGGAAGTTGTACGTTTTAGTATGTATATATCAGGATTCAGACAATAACTCTGAAAGATATTACAGTGACCTTCATTGAAGACATAAGAGATAACCAATATACACTCATGGACAAAATTTAAGGAAGTTGTACGTTTTATAATGTATATATCAGAATTCGGACAATAACTCTGAAAGATATTACAGTGACCTTCATTGAATACATAAGAGATAACCAATATACACTCATAGACAAAACTTAAGGAAGTTGTACCTTTTACCATGTATATCGGGATTCAGACAATAACTCTAAAAGATATTACAGTGACCTTTATTGAAGACATAAGAGATAACCAATATACACTCATGGACAAAATTTAAGTATGTTGTACGTTTTAGCATGTATATCAGGATTCAGATAATAAAACTCTGAAATATATTACAGTGACCTTTATTGAAGATACACATGATAACCAATATACACTCATGGACAAAACTTAAGGTGTTGTGCATCTTAGCATTTATATCGGGATTCAGACAATAAAACTCTGAAATATATTACAGTGACCTTTATTGAAGATACACATGATAACCAATATACACTCATGGACAAAACTTAAGGTGTTGTGCATCTTAGCATTTATATCGGGATTCAGACAATAAAACTCTGAAATATATTACAGTGACCTTTATTGAAGATACACATGATAACCAATATACACTCATGGACAAAACTTAAGGTGTTGTGCATCTTAGCATGTATATCGGGATTCAGACAATAAAACTCTGAAATATATTACAGTGACCTTTATTGAAGATACACATGATAACCAATATACACTCATGGACAAAACTTAAGGTGTTGTGCATCTTAGCATGTATATCGGGATTGAAGACAATAAAACTCTGAAATAAATTACAGTGACCTTTATTGAAGATACACATGATAACCAATATACACTCATGGACATAACTTAAGGTGTTGTGCATCTTAGCATGTATATCGGGATTCAGAAAATAAAACTCTGAAATATATTACAGTGACCTTTATTGAAGATACACATGATAACCAATATACACTCATGGACAAAACTTAAGGTGTTGTGCATCTTAGCATGTATATCGGGATTAAAGACAATAAAACTCTGAAATATATTACAGTGACCTTTATTGAAGTACACATGATAACCAATATACACTCATGGACAAAACTTAAGGTGTTTGTGCATCTTAGGATTTATATCGGGATTCAGACAATAAAACTCTGAAATAAATTACAGTGACCTTTATTGAAGATACACATGATAACCAATATACACTCATGGACAAAACTTAAGGTGTTGTGCATCTTAGCATGTATATCGGGATTCAAACAATAAAACTCTGAAAGATATTACAGTGACCTTTATTTAAGACACACATGATAACCAATATACACTAATGGACAAAACTTAAGGTGTTGTGCATCTTAGCATGTATATCGGGATTCAAACAATAACTCTGAACGATATTACAGTAACCTTTATTGAAGACACACATGATAACCAATATACACTAATGGACAAAACTTAAGGAAGTTGTAACTTTTAGCATCTATATCGGGATTCAGACAATAACTCTGAAAGATATTAGAGTAACATTTATTGAAGACACACATGATAACCAATATACACCTCACGGACAAAAATAAAGGAATTTGTATTCAGACAATAACTCTAAAAGATATTCGATACACAATGACCTTTATTGAAGAAACACGAGATAACCAAGTATGTAAAAAATTGCCTTTGTCTCCTCCACAAAAAAAAAATACGACTTGCGAGACATCAAAGACATTGTATTTTCTTAAGTTTTTACCATGTGTGTAAGATATATTTTAAATGTACTAAATAAAAGACAGATAATAAAAAAGTATCTAAAACTTTATGAACGGAACAAAAATGAAAATACATAGTGTCCTACAAGTTATTTATAGCCCAGTTACAGTCCAGTATGACACTTCAGAGTCACAGTCTGTCTCTTCCATAAAGTTTTGATACAATCCTCTTATTGACAGACGAGAGATCTTTGCCAAATTGTGTTCTGAAGTTTCTCTGAGTGACACATCTGGTTTCTATAAACCTTTTCACATATTGGGACATTTGTAGAATTCATTTTTCTAAATATTTTGTTATCTGGAAAAGCACATGCCATAAAACATTTTGAGTTGATATTCTATGAAAATTACAGTTAATATACATGGAATTCAATTATTTTCAGGTAAGTGAAATTTATAATTATAATGTATCCTTTCTCAATCTCTTTCAGTATATAAAATAGTATAATTCCCTCGATATATTCCATATAGAACTATATTCACCTTTTCTTTATCTTCACTTGATAAACTGACAATAAGGATCAAATCACCTCTAAAAATTTAAATCTTAACTTATATTCGAACATATTGAGGTACCTTTTTAATCTTCATAATATATATACTCATGGAAAATACTTTAAAAAGTAGTATGTCTTTTATGTCGCCAGTCGTCTGTTTTTATGAAAGAGAAAGAGGTGATTTTCTTCACACTTGGCTATTTCGTATGTCTTCAAAAAGGTCCCTGTGTATCAAATATCTTTCAGAGTTATTGTCTGAACCCGATATGCACGCTGAAAGGTACAACTTCCTTAATTTTAGTCAAATTGTGTGTATATATTTATTGTACCGCCAAATAACAATCAAACAGAAAATAATAATTTATAAACATATTCACTCATCCACTAGATTACGTATATTATATATATATATTGTTACGACGCTTCTCAGCCGTCAATGTTTGCGTGCAAGGTTTCTGAGAAGACAAAGTGGGTTCGTTTTGGATACAGCGTAGTACTATAGATTTATTTAAACACAACTTTAAAAGAGATATTAAGGACTATACATGGGAGATAAACACTTGCCTTCCAAAGCCGTTCCAACTGTTTACTGTTCTTCCCTCGCGCGGGCGTGCCTTGCCTCCCTTGGCTTTCCCACTTCTTCTCTTCTACTTTTCTGCATCGCTTCACTGCCCCCTTCTCAATCCTTTTCGTCCCGAAAAGGCTGATTTCACCAGAGGCGCTGATCGGCGGCCTTTTGATCTCCCTGACGTCTCTGGCCACATGAGGGTCGTCAGCCTTCCGGAAGCGTAGCGGCAGGATTAGCGCCAGCCCTTGTTTGCAGAACCACATCCTAACTCGGATTTTCTTCCCACGACAGGGCGATAGATCGTGGGTCTCAAAAGTGGATGCGCTTTCTTGATCCACGCTGACCATATCGTGGCCTTCCAGCATGTATTCGTCCTTGTTAGACTTCCAGAGGTGTTCGAGAAAGTTCCTTTCTTCTGTAGGTTTCGCATTTCTTTGCAACTGGAGATTTATTCTTCTACAAATTCTAGACCTGGACAACTCGATGCTGTCTTTGCCCTGAAGCATGGAATCCTCGAAATTTCTGAAGGTGCCAGACCGCACAGTAGTTTCAATTTCGGCACAACTTGTTCTAAGCGATGGTGGCTGAGTCTGCACCTTGTCGGGCGAAGTAACGAAGGTGATGGGCACACACTCGTAGCACATCTTTTCAGCTTGTATTGCAGACGACGGCGCTGACACATTGCGTGAGACTTCCGCGTCACAGACATTGTCGTCGGACTTCCACAGAGCGTCCAATACTCTATCCCGTTCTGTCGGGTTGCCGGCTCCAACTTCGGGGTGCTTCGACCATCTAGTCTTGTCGCACTTCCACGGAGCGCCCAGCTCCGTCCCGTCCAGTTGGATCGCCGCTGTAGTCCCTGGCAACCTGTCACTGTCGCAGAAGTCAGCCACGCCGTCACATTGCAGCTCGCCAAGATCGTTGTTCTTTTCATGGAGTATTTCAGAATGGATCCCAAGGGTTGAATTTTCGCTCTGTATATCACCTTGAGTAGTCGATCTAACGGTTTCTCCGAGCACATCTAATTTCTGGCTTATCAGACTGAGCAATTTTGTGAATTTTTCTATTTCGGGGTCGGTTAGTTTTCAATTTTTCTTTTTAAATTGGCGCAAAATAAAATCTTCAATTAAAATTAACTAAGCTGTATCCCACCGCTGCCACCAATTGTTACGACGCTTCTCAGCCGTCAATGTTTGCGTGCAAGGTTTCTGAGAAGACAAAGTGGGTTCGTTTTGGATACAGCGTAGTACTATAGATTTATTTAAACACAACTTTAAAAGAGATATTAAGGACTATACATGGGAGATAAACACTTGCCTTCCAAAGCCGTTCCAACTGTTTACTGTTCTTCCCTCGCGCGGGCGTGCCTTGCCTCCCTTGGCTTTCCCACTTCTTCTCTTCTACTTTTCTGCATCGCTTCAATATATATATATATATATATATATTGCTTATCCCTAGTACACGTGGTACAGGCCATGATAATCATGGTGGGTAGAAGTACGTGACTTCTTTTACTGTAAGTGTACCACATGTCTACACATGTGAAAAGCAGCTCGACTTTGCAATTATAAATGTGCCAGAGCCCCGTTTGTTTACTTGCACTCGCTGGTGGGGTTGGACTTTTCCAAGAATCGAGGGCTATTGGAGCATTTTTTTAATCAGAAAAAAAGTGCCCAATGCGGGAATCGAACCCGGGTCGTAGCGGTCGAAAACCAACGGTTTAGACCATCCTTAACCAACCCCCCATATATTATATATAAATTATAATAGTCTATAAATCTATGTCTGAATACCATATATAACAAAATATAACTTCCAGACGTAATCAGAAACCGCTGACATTTAATCCATGTCAAATATATAATCAGTTCAGATGACAGTGTGTCTGGATAGAAAAAATATATTTAAGATTTTATCACTGAATATTTATTTCTACGTGCTTGACAACCAATTTAATTTTTTTTTTCGTTTTTTTCAGCTATTCAAATATGTCGCTCTATCTAATTTATTCACTACAAAAAGATAAAATGTAATATATTTATATCTGTTTATTAAATAATAGAAAGTCTATATATATATGAAAAAACAAAAGATAAAATAAAAGATAAGTGGGTCAGGTGTTGATATTAAAATATCAATATATTTTATCAATTATATTATATAATCTAAATACTCAAATATTTCTATATTTTAAAATATATATATTTTATTTTTATTCATTGATATTTTTACTTTTGGTTATCATCGTTTTTAGAAAGACTTTCAGTTTTGTTGTAAATATCCGTAGTATCTATCCTTTTAAATCACTAATATAGAATTAACTTTATAAATTCTATATAATGTGAAAATAACTAATGTGTGATTTTTTCTCAAGTAATCGAAAATAAAAGCTACTTGACGGTAAATAATTATATTTTTCTTATCACGACTGCACCTCAACCTTTTATTTTATCGATCCTTTGTCTTATCAACCCTTTATCTAACAACAACAACAATATATTCATAACATATGTATATATCTTGAATCAATATATTTTTATTTTAAAAATCAATATTTCAACAAGTCAATTCACCCATAATTTTCTGTGATTAAATTCTTGTTTTGATATTTAAACTACTTTTTTTACCAGTATATATATTGTATTTAAAAATGAGGAGATTTTCTGCCGATTTTAGCTCATCTTGAGAATTATGTTATGGTGATACAGTCGTGGTTAAAATCTTGAAACTATAATAAAAATATTGAAGATCGAGATTTCTTTATTTGAGCTAAGGAATATATATGAAACAACATAATTTGGTGAAAGTAATGCCAGACTTAAAGCGTAAGAATAAAAAATGAAGAACTTATTTACATAATGTATATATGGTTTGAGCCTGACAACGGGAAACAACAACAACGAGTTTTTATAGTGAAAACGGCGATCTCTGGTGGTCGATTTAGCAGAGTATTTCATCTATGGAATATATTTGAAAAACATATTTTTATATAACATATATATATTTTTCTAAGTTCCTCAAGAAGCCTTTGGGACCAAAAATATTTTTGATCGCAGTGGTACAGCCTACTCCGCTCTGACGAGCGCCAACAGCGCGAAACGCGTTCGTGGATGGTTTTTCTTGATTTATCAAGAAATTGGGTTGGCGAAATATCAGGGAACAAGCTAAATCAATGTTTAGTTGATTTCTGTTCCACCAGATGGCGCTCTGCCTTCTGAAAAGCACATGTGCTCTTGGTCAGGATATACTTACTTTGTTTTTAATATCAACACCTGACCCACTTATTTTTTACTTATTTTTTTTATATTGTTTTTCATATATATACATTTTAATAGATCATTCCATAATTAGATATTTAATTTTAAAAAGGCATATATATATGGATCAAAAATAGTCAATTCTACCAATATTTCTGTTGGCTAAACGCCATTCTTTTTCAATGTATATCAACATATTAATTGTCAACAACAAACTTATTTTTAACAGCATCTTAATGTCAACAAATAACACATATATGCTTCGTTTTAGTATTTTAAAAAATTCTACTGTCCTCACTGAAATGATAGAATAATGGGCTTGGCACATCAGTGATGAATTCTTCAAGCGGTTTTGCCAGTTTAATCTACCATACCACTGATGAACCAGGCCCTCACATTAATTTATCATTGCATTGATGGCTGTAGAAATTGTTTTAGCTTAAAAAGAAACATTCAACTCCGCCTTTGCTGGTCCCAAACCCGGATGAAAAAGGAGAAGGGGGAGCAGTAACAAGCTCACTAAAAAACCTGGGCTCAACTGGCCCGGCTGATAGTACCCTGTAAGGGCTCCTGATCCAGGGATACAGGATAAGCAGCGTCTGTAATCCATGTTAGGAGCGGCTGCATATGGCGTCTGTTCCTCATGTCAGAGGCGGCCATTTATTTTGGAGCCTAAGTCGGCCTGCCACTGAGTAGTGCTCCCAGTCTTAATGACAAAGGCAGATGCATTCTACTTCACCCAGTCATGATGGTTGTCAAATTACCCTAATTTGATTGAGTGGAGATAAGAAAGAAGAAGAAGAAACATACACGTCAAAAATGTGAGTATGACATCAGAGCACAACTAGGCGTTTACAATTTAAAAAATAACAAAATATTCAGAGCTAGAGAATATTCAACGACAGATCTATAAAACAGATATAATAATTCCATAAATACAGAGTATTCTTCTTTCTTATCTCCACTCAATCATATTAAGGTATCAATCTTGTAAAGCTTGAGACTTTTGATCTGCCGGGGAAGAGTAGAGCTCATCAATGTTGCTGTTGTTGTCGTGTCCAAAAAAGAGTCTCAGATGTCTCCATGCATCTCCATCAAAGCAGCAGCAATATCCACCATCTTGGGTGTGTAAGGCTTTTCTGCAAGGCTGCCACCATTGCTGGGCATGAGATTATGTAAGTAGGTGTTAGTTCCACACCAGGACAGTTGTTGCATAGAGTTCATCAATGGATGAGTCAATACAGTAAATAATGATAAATACAGAGTTATATTTCATTATATAACGACGATTGAAGAGGGGTATCTTATACGAACTCTTTTAGCCAGCTTTCGGACGTATGCGTTCTTTTACAAGCTTTACAATGACAAAAAGAAAGAAATATGAGATGGGTATTAATAGAACATTGTTATATCAAATACTCATCTCATATTTATTTCTTTTTATCATATTCGAAGAGTTTTATTTAGACGAATATTTATTCGAACTTTTAATTTAGTCGATTTTAACATAGTTATATTATTCTGTGTATTTTCATTGATTAAATAAATAATAAAGTTATAAAATCAATTCTTCGCCACATATTTTAAATACAGTAATATCTCACGATGTACTAGCGCGGCATCTGTTATGAAAATTAGAAACTATTTTAGACGCGTAATATTTGTTTAATTCCAAAAAGAATATTACGCGTCTAAAACAGTAATATCTGACTCTAAACAACTGGAGTTATAGCGCAGCTTTTCTTATAACGACTCTAAAACAATCTCGAATTTTATTCCTTCGAAAGATATCAGGTTATAACAAACTTCAGATAACTACTTACCTCTATTTAGAAACTAATATTTCATGTTTCAAAGTCTAAATTTATAATTGAAGTTGTTGGAATAAACTAAAAGTGTCGTTTCATTGGGAATCACGGTCAATAGTCAAGTTTTACAATATATATAACTAAATATTTGAAGATTCAATCTAATATACCATATTATTCACTCATTTTGAATAACTTGTGTAGAAATATTAACCTTATGTATCGAGAAAGTTAATAGACCTTCTTTAAAGTCTCTTTTAACGATAAAGGTGATCTTTCTTTTTTTTTATTAATAACTTTCTGAAAAGATGTACAATGCACATTCCGACCATTGAATTAGTTCAATAATTTTGCCATGTAAATATCTTTATGTTGTATTGTGTATCATGCACATTCATGTAAATACATTCACTGATTCTGAAAAGTCCATGATTATCTTGTGGATTCATGTAAGCCAAACCATTCTAGCACTAACGATGGCCATTAACCTGAAACCATTGTTTACAGGTCGGACTTCTGGGATTGACAAAGCTGGTGTTGTGGTTTTGTCAAAGATCCGTGTATTTCTAGTTTGTAGTGACTATCAATAGATATTTTCTTAGTTTTTGTGTCATTCTTGATAGGATATATGTCATTTTACAATACAATAATACCTTGTTTGAATATTAAAGTAAAAATATCAGGCTTACGGAATTAACTTACTTTTTTGGATAATTTTAAAATCAAATCTCTATATTTCGGGCACGAAAGCCCTTTATAGAAGAAAATATTTTACATAAAATACCTCTCTCTTCAATAGAATCTGAGTTAAGATAAAATCAAAAATACATAAGGTGTTTACAGTTTTTTGAATGCAGAATTAATGCGGGCTTCTATTGCGGGGGCTTTCTAAAAATTATCTTCGGAACCCCGGTATTTTACTTTGATATGTCATCTTATAAAGCAATTTCTCTCGTGAAATTTTTATCTATATACATCTTATATTCCGGGCGGAGACAATAAAAAAAAGTAATATATTATTAAGTAAATGTTTAGATTGTCGAATGCAAATTTTACTTACAAAAAAAAAAAAAGAAATAATGAAATATCAATTATTGGCAAATATGATTATTTTATTTTAAACAAATTTAGCTATATAATATCATATTTTTGGAAAATGAGTTTATTAAAAAAAAACACATTTAACCAACCCAAAAGAAAAAAATGAAACTATATACAACAGAACAAAAATAATAATTTAAAAAAGCTTTTTATTTTTTGGTCAAATTTGATAAAATATTTATATATTATAAAATATTAAATTAAATATAACATATATAAAGCTATACAAACAGTTTTACCGCATAAGTTTCTTTTTTATTTATGAAAAAATCATTTTTAATTTCAAAGAGAAATATTTAATATTTCTAACTTTTGGATGACGTATGACGTATTCCCGCTCCTGGACACTTTTATTTTTCCGTTCGCCATTACTCTTCATATTTTTCACCCTTCCATACGTCATCCCTTCATATATAGACCATCACTCTTCATGTATTCAACCTTTTTATACGTCATCCAAAAGTTAGAAATATTAAATATTTCTCTTTGAAATTAAAAATGATTTTTCATAAATAAAAAGAAACTTATGCGGTAAAACTGTTTGTATAGCTTTATAATTATACGCCGCAGTCATTT